TTCAGATATTTGGGATGGGACGTGTCAGCAGATGGGTCTATGAAAGATGAGGTAAATCATGGGAATTGATGAGGGAAAAGGGTGAGTGGTGCACTTAGGAGTCTGTGGAGACAAAGAACTTTGTCCTTGGAGGCAAAGAGGGGACTGTATGGGGGAGTATAGTTTTACCAACGCTCTTATTGGGTGTGAAAGATGGGTGATAAATGTTGCAGCGAGGAGAAGGTGGAGGCAGTGGAGATGTCATGTCTGAGGGCAATGTGTGGTGTGAATATAATTCGTAGTTTGGAAGTTAGGAGGAGGTGCGGGATTACCAAAAACTGTTGTCCAGAGGGCTGAGGAAGGGTTGTTGAGGTGGTTCGGACATGTAGAGAGAATGGAGCGAAACAGAGTGACTTCAAGAGTGCATCCCGTCTGTAGTGGAAGGAAGGCGGGGTAGGGGTCGGCCTAGGAAAGGTTGGAGGGAGGGGGTAAAGGAGGTTTTGTGTGCAAGGGGCTTGGACTTCCAGCAGGCATGCGTGAGCGTGTTTGATAGGAGTGAATGGAGACAAATGGTTTTTAATACTTGACGTGCTGTTGGAGTGTGAGCAAAGTAACATATATGAAGGGGTTCAGGGAAACCGGCAGGCCGGACTTGAGTCCTGGAGATGGGAAGTACAGTGCCTGCACTCTGAAGGAGGGGTGTTAATGTTGCAGTTTAAAAACTATAGTGTAAAGCACCCTTCTGGCAAGACAGTGATGGAGTGAATGATGGTGAAAGTTTTTCTTTTTTGGGCCACCCTACCTTGGTGGGAATCGGCCAGTGTGATAATAAAAAATAATAATAATAATACTTTTCTTCTTTTTAACCCCTAAACAGTCCAAATGTATACTATATACATTCTTACTCGTAGCGCCCCAAACGTATATATACGTTTTAATTTTCATGCCTCCAAATTTGGCACGATTGGCCTGAGATGCCTGGTCAGCATAGAATGGGTCTTAACACTTGGTGTACACCATATTAAAAAAATCCGGGACCACTTATTACCTTGTGTGAGCGCCAGTTATATTGAGCGCCAGCTGGAGCAAACAGTGGGGCAAACACCAAGGATTCACTGATGTAATATCATATTAACACTCCCCTTTTAAGAAGAAAGTGATGTTAACCCCAAGTTTAGGGTCTGTCTATGTCTGTTTCTGTCTCTGTCTATCTCTCTCTGTCTATCTGTCTCTATCTGTCTCACAGGTACACACAATCGCAGTTTTTTCAGTCTACCTAGTTGAGTGATTGAGGCTAGGACTTTGGGTAGTTTTAAATTTAGGTTGGATAAGTACATGAGTGGGAGGGGTTGGATTTGAGTGGGACTTGCACATCAGAGCTTATTTCTTGGGTAGCATAGAAAATTGGGTTGGGCAAATGTTTTGTTAGTGGGATGAATTGTAAAGGACCTGCCTAGTATGGGCCAACAGGCCTGCTGCAGTGTTCTTATGTTCTTAAATACAATTATACATAGTGTAAATTACCTAGAATAACCTAAAAAATCCGAAGTGCTATGCTGTGCTTGTAGGTATAATGCCTAAGAATACCTGTTGGTTCACAGTGGCTCTCTCTGAGACAGACAGAGAGACAAGCAGACAGAGAAATAAGACAGAGACAGGTAATCAGAGATACAAGCTCATCAAATGTCATCCCTTATCTCTGCACCCTAGCTGGCACCCATCAAATGTCAAAGCTTATCTCCTCTTATCTCTGCACTATCTCATCTTACCTCTGCACCCTCACTGGAGCCCATCAGATGTCATCTCATATCTGATCTTATCAGTTCCCTCCGATGCCTGTCACTGAACATTTGTCTTGCACATTGCTTCAAGGGAATTTCTTCCTTCTTCCGCCTCCTTCTTCCTTCTTCTTCTTCTATACTCCCGTGTATCCAAAACATTGCTGGGATCTATAAATACTTTGTATATATACCTAGACAATAGTAAATGACCAAGGCAGGTGTAAATGTCCACCTATCAGTGTGTTTGTGACAATTTGAGTACAATTTCAGTACCTAATATTAGTGTCAGAACAAAGATTGGTTATGAAATGACAAGAACTACAATATATTGTAATTATCAGAACATAAAAATTAAATAAAATAATATAAAAATGAGAAAAAATGGTATATCGGCAACACTCCTGCAAGTGGCAGGACTCTATGTTGCTGTCAGGTGAGCATTGAGTGCCAACTTTGCAGCCTCATATCTCAGTAAAAACTGACCCTAATTTTTTTATTTTAATCCTATAACACTTAGAAAAATGTGCTCTTTATTTTCATTAAAAAATTATTTTTTTGTTTTTCAAAATATTTGGGGTCCTGGGGTAGTGAATGTATATACATGTATATGTTTGGACCGTTTACAGGTTAAATGGGCTTCAGGAAACAATATGAAGTTCAATGAAGACAAATTTCAGTTATCTTCTCTGGAAAACTTGAGGAAATAAAAACTAGATTGAAGTATAAAACAAATTCCAACCACACAATAGAGCAAAAAACTAATGTGAAGGACCTGGGAGTGTTAATGTCAGAGAATCTCACTTTCGAAGACCACAACGTTTCTATCACATCTGCTAGGAAAATGATAGGATGGATAGAAAGAACCTTCTAAACTAGGGATGCAAAGCCAATGATGATTCTCTTCAAATACAGTGGACCCCTGCATACCGTTGGCATCACATAACGATTAATCCGCATACCGCTTGCTTTAATCGCAAAAATTTTGCCTCGCATACCGCTTAAAAACCCGCTCACCGCTGTTCGTCTGAGACGCGTCCAATGTGCGCCTTAGCCAGCCTCACATGTTCCGCCGGTGGCATTGTTTACCAGCCAGCCTCCGCGGTAGCATCCAAGCATACAATCGTAACATTTCGTATTATTACAGTGTTTTTGGTGATTTTATCTGGAAAATAAGTGACCATGGGCCCCAAGAAAGCTTCTAGTGCCAACCCTACAGCAATAAGGGTGAGAATTACTATAGAGATGAAGAAAAAGATCATTGATAAGTATGAAAGTGGAGTGCATGTCTCCGAGCTGGCCAGGTTATAATAAACCTCAATCAACCATCGCTACTATTGGTGGTACAGCTGCTGCTGCTGCACTGTCAGCTGCTGCTGCTGCTGCTGCTGTAGCATCGTCTGCTGCTGCTGTAGCATCGTCTGCTGCTGCTGTAGCATCATCTGCTGCTGCTGCTGCTGTAGCATCGTCTGCTGCTGCTGTAGCATCGTCTGCTGCTGCTGCTGCTGTAGCATCGTCTGCTGCTGCTATAGCATCGTCTGCTGCTGCTGTAGCATCGTCTGCTGCTGCTGTAGCATCGTCTGCTGCTGCTGTAGCATCGTCTGCTGCTGCTGTAGCACTGTTGTTGGTGTGGCTTATTGAGAATATACCAAGAAACAATTAACCCCAGAGGATTTGCCACCCAGGATAACCCAAAAAAGTCAGTGTCATCGAAGACTGTCTAACTTATTCCATTGGGGTCCTTAATCTTGTCTCCCAGGATGCAACCCACACCAGTCGACTAACACCCAGGTGAACAGGGAAAAATGCCTGGAACTAGTGCTCATATTGGTGAATTTAAAGCCAGCAAAGGTTGGTTTGAGAGATTTAAGAATCGTAGTGACATACACAGTGTGATAAGGCATGTTCTGGAAGAAAATACCAAACAGGACCTACAGTACTCAGGAGGAAAAGGCACTCCCAGGACACAGTGTCTCATCAGTCATTGCTGCATCTTCAATAAAGGTAAGTGTCATTTATTCTTCATTTAGTAGACTAGTACATGCACAATATATACTGTGCATGTACTACTCTACTATTGTGCATGTATCCTTCTCTTTGTGTGTAGGAAAATGTATATTTCACGTGGTAAAATTTTTTTTTTTCATACTTTTGGGTGTCTTGCACGGATTAATTTGATTTCCATTATTTCTTATGGGGAAAATTCATTCGCATACCGATTATTTCGCATACCAATGAGCCCTCTTGCATGGATTAAAATCGGTATGCGGGGGTCCACTGTATCTTACTCTTTCTAGGCTGGAATATTACTGTACACCAATGGCCTCTTTCAAGGCAGGCAAAATTGCAGACCTGGATAAAATACAGAGAACTTTCATTGCATGTATAAGTACAATAAAGCACCTATATTACTGGGAACAGTTGAAGTCCCTTGACCTGTACTTCTAGGAATGCAGGCGAGAAAGATACATGATAATATACACTTGGAAAATCTTAGAGGGACTAGTCCCAAATCTGCACACGGAAACCACTCCCTCTGAAAGCAGTAGACTTGGCAGGCAGTGCAGCATCCCTGCAGTGAAAAGCAGAGGTGCCATGAGTAGGCTAAGAGACAACACAATAAGTGTCAGGGGCCCAAGACTGTTAAACTGCTTCCCAGCATATATAAGGGGGATGACCAGTAGACCCCTGGCTATCTTCAAGAGGGAGCTGGACAGGCACCTAAAATCAGTACCAGATCAGCTGGACTGTGGTTTGTACATTGGTTTGCATGTAGCCAGCAGAAACAGCCTGGTTGATCAGGCCCTGATCCACTACAAGGCCTGGGCATGAACCAGGCTGCTAGGGCATTGACCCCCAGAACACCCTCCAGGTGTACTCCAGTTATTTTTTTCTCTCCAACGAACCAGCTGTATACCACCGAGGCAAGGTGAACATGAAAGAAAAACAGAAGGTTTTCTTTTTAAATTTAATAATTTATATAGGAGAAAGGGTTACTAGCCCCTTGCTCCCAGCATTTTAGTCACCTCTTATGACACTCATGGCTTACGGAGGAAGAATTCTTTATCATTTCCCCTTGGAGATTATTATTATTAAGTTTCTTTTTAACATGTCGGCTGTTTCCCACTGAGGCAGGGTGATCCAATATTACTGTTATTATTATTATTATTATTACTGTTATTATTAATTTAAGTTTTGATTAGTGGTTTTTAGGTTAGTCATACATGTTTTTTATATTTTTAGGTAAGTTCGGGCAAGCAAATAGTGAGACAAAATGTCACTTCAAGACGAAGAAATTCATCAGCTGAGAGGCCATTCAATATTGTACAAGAAGCTGTGAGTTTATATTTCACTATTTTATAGCAAATTCTTATAAAGATCCTTTATGCAGTATGATTTCTTGTAAATGCAACAGAAAAAGCTGCATTCACAGTTGAAAAGCATGTGAAAATACCTTATAGTATGTGATGTTCAGTTTTGGATACACCTTTTGCAAAATAACACGCTACATGTATACAATAGCTTTATAAGAGAGCTTACTGTAAATGTATTGTTTGTGAAGAAATATTATCTTAGTAATACTACAGCTGTGCTTTACAACAACTGTACATCTTCAGAAAGCCTCTCCTCACTTAAAGACGGAATTTCATTCCTAAGACCATGTTGGTAAATGAATTCATCGTTAAGTGAGGAGCATACTATAATGGTAGTGGGTTTGTGTCAACTATCTTTGATATTGTTTTAATGTCACCTTGGCACCATTTATAACATTTCTGGTATATTTTTAAATGTTTATACGGTAGTGTACTGTATGTTGTAATAAACAGAATAGAGGAAATCAGTTCTAATATACATTATTTAGGCATGCATACTGGTCAGAGAGCCTGTCGTATGTCTGAGGTGTCGGTAAACAAGTACTGTATATTGCTAAGTGAGGAGAGGCTGTATTTAACTAAGAATAACTTATGCATTTGCTAGATAATGAGTACACAGATTTTCACATTATATTGAATTCTACCACTGAAGTATGGTAACCCTCATCTCTCCTCCCCAAAAAGGGTGGAGATGTTGCAGTTTGGTTATTTATCTGAACTGTGATGACTGTGTTTTTCTGGAAAGACAGTGATTGAATGAAGGATGGCAAATGTGTCACCTTTCTTGAGGATCACTCAGAATTAGTTAGAGATGGCCATTATGTTAAAAAATTTTAAATTCTTTTGATGTTGTCATTTAAGTGTGTACGTAGTTGTTTCCAATTATCAAACTAGATAAGAAAATATAACTATATATATGTTAGTAGAATTACCGACAATATGTAAAGTAAAAGGACACAAGTGCAACTAATGTGACATTTTATTGTGGCAGTGTTTCGCTCTCCACAAGCTTTGTCAAGCCTATATATACCCTGTGTCCATGTATTGTTTGTAACGGCTTGACAAAGCTCCTGGAGAGTGAAACGTTGCACAATAAAATGCCACATTAGTTGCACTTGTGTCCTTTTGCTTTACAAAATATTACTGGTAACCTAAAATTTCGATGTTCTTCATTAAACTTTTTATTATTTGACATAATCAATGTATGTATACAGGAGAGCCCTGTTTCTATGGCTGTTATGTTCCCATTACCCAGCTATGAGCAAAAATCACCAGCGGGTGGAAAAGAGGGTTTTTTTTTTCAATACAGCCTCTCCTCACTTAACAACGTACTCGTTTACCGATGCCTCGGACTTATGACAGGCTCACTGACCAGTATTCATACCTAAATAATGTATATTAGAGCTGATTTCCTCTGTTCTCTTTATTTCAATATACAGTACACTATTGTATAAACATTTAATAATATACCAGAAATGCTATAAATGGTGCAAAGGTGACATTAAAACAATATCAAATATGGATGACACAAACTTGTTACCATTACTGTATGCGGAAAAAAGCACTGAACATAATGAACAGTGACTCAATTGAAACCCACTGAAAATAGGGTGCCAGATATGAGGGGCCCTCATATATATATATATGTAATGCATGTATATATGTATACATATATGTTGGAGTGTGAGCAGGGTAATATTTAGTGAAGGGATTCAGGGAAACCGGTTATTTTCATATAGTCGGACTTGAGTCCTGGAAATGGGAAGTACAATGCCTGCACTTTAAAGGAGGGGTTTGGGATATTGGCAGTTTGGAGGGATATGTTGTGTATCTTTATATGTATATGCTTCTAAACTGTTGTATTCTGAGCACCTCTGCAAAAGCAGTGATAATGTGTGAGTGTGGTGGAAGTGTTGAATGATGATGAAAGTATTTTCTTTTTTGGGGATTTTCTTTCTTTTTTGGGTCACCCTGCCTCGGTGGGAGACGGCCAACTTGCTGAAAAAAAAAATATATATATATGTATGTATGACAAAATACAGAAAATAAGAGAAGAAAAACTCCATTGGGAAGTGGAACAGAATTCTTCCTCCGTAAGCCATGCATGTCGTAAGAGGCGACTAAAATGCCGGGAGCAAGGGGATAGTAACCCTTTCTCCTATATATATTACTAAAGGTAAAAGGAGAAACTTTCGTTTTTCCTTTTGGGCCGCCCCGCCTCGGTGGGATACTGCCGGTGTGTTGAAAGAAAGAGAAGAAAAACACCTAAGGGATTTTGTGCACTCTTGCTCTTCTACTTCTATTATTACTTCTATCTACTTCTGTTACTTACTACTTCTGTTACTGTTTCTTCTACTCTTACTTACTGATTCTTCTACTTCTATACTGTTCTTCTACTTCTACTACTGTTTTTCTACTTCTACTACTGATTCTTCTACTTCTACTACTGATTCTTCTACTTCTACTACTGATTCTTCTACTTCTACTACTGATTCTTCTACTTCTACTACTGATTCTTCTATTCTACTACTGGTCTTCTACATTCTACTACTGATTCTTCTACTTCTACTACTGATTCTTCTACTTCTACTACTGTTCTTCTACTTCTACTACTGTTCTTCTATTCTACTACTGTTTCTTCTTCTACTACTGATTCTTCTACTTCTACTACTGTGTCTTCTACTCTACTACTGATTCTTCTACTTCTACTACTGATTCTTCTACTTCTACTACTGATTCTTCTACTTCTACTACTGATTCTTCTACTTCTACTACTGATTTCTTCTACTTCTACTACTGTTTCTTCTACTTCTACTACTGTTCTTCTACTTCTACTACTGTATTTCTTCTACTTCTAAAAACTGGTTCTTCACTTTATACTGATTCTTCTCTTCTACTACTGTTTCTTCTACTTCTACTACTGTTTCTTCTACTTCTACTACTGATTCTTCTACTTCTACTACTGATTCTTCTACTTCTACTACTGTTTCTTCTACTTCTACTAACTGATTCTTCTACTTCTACTACTGATTCTTCACTTCTACTACTGATTCTTCTACTTCTACTACTGATTTCTTCTACTATTCACTACTGATCTTCTACTTCTACTACTGATTCTTCTACTTCTACTACTGATTCTTTCTACTTCTACTACTGTTTCTTCTACTTCTACTACTGATTCTTCTACTTCTACTACTGATTCTTCTACTTCTACTACTGTTTTCTTCTACTTCTACTACTGTTTCTTCTACTTCTACTACTGATTCTTCTACTTCTACTACTGTTTCTCTACTTCTACTACTGATTCTTCTACTCTAACTACTGATTCTTCTACTTCTACTACTGATTCTTCTATTTACTACTGATTCTTCTACTTCTACTACTGATTCTTCTACTTCTACTACTGATTCTTCTACTTCTACTACTGATTCTTCTACTTCTACTAACTGATCTTCTACTTCTACTACTGATTCTTCTACTTCTACTACTGATTCTTCTACTTCTACTACTGATTCTTCTACTTCTACTACTGATTCTTCTACTTCTACTACTGTGTCTTCTACTTCTACTACTGATTCTTCTACTTCTACTACGATTCTTCTACTTCTACTACTGATTCTTCTACTTCTACTACTGATTCTTCTACTTCTACTACTGTTTCTTCTTCTACTACTGATTCTTCTACTTCTACTACTGTGTCTTCTACTTCTACTACTGATTCTTCTACTTCTACTACTGATTCTTCTACTTCTACTACTGATTCTTCTACTTCTACTACTGATTCTTCTACTTCTACTACTGATTCTTCTACTTCTACTACTGTTTCTTCTACTTCTACTACTACTGTTTCTTCTACTTCTACTACTGTTTCTTCTACTTCTACTACTGTTTCTTCTACTTCTACTACTGTTTCTTCTACTTCTACTACTGATTCTTCTACTTCTACTACTGATTCTTCTACTTCTACTACTGATTCTTCTACTTCTACTACTGTTTCTTCTACTCTACTACTGTTTCTTCTACTTCTACTACTGATTCTTCTAACTTCTACATACTGTTTCTTCTACTTCTACTACTGATTCTTCTACTTCTACTACTGATTCTTCTACTTCTACTACTGATTCTTCTACTTCTACTACTGATTCTTCTACTTCTACTACTGATTCTTCTACTTCTACTACTGATTCTTCTACTTCTACTACGAGTTCTTCTACTTCTACTACTGATTCTTCTACTTCTACTACTGATTCTTCTACTTCTACTACTGATTCTTCTACTCTACTACTGATTCTTCTACTTCTACTACTGATTCTTCTACTTCTACTACTGTGTCTTCTACTTCTACTACTGATTCTTCTACTTCTACTACTGATCTTCTACTTCTACTACTGATTCTTCTACTTCTACTACTGATTCTTCTACTTCTACTACTGTTTCTTCTTCTACTACTGATTCTTCTACTTCTACTACTGTGTCTTCTACTTCTACTACTGATTCTTCTACTTCTACTACTGATTCTTCTACTTCTACTACTGATTCTTCTACTTCTACTACTGATTCTTTCTACTTCTACTACTGATTCTTCTACTTCTACTACTGTTTCTTCTACTTCTACTACTGTTTCTTCTACTTCTACTACTGTTCTCATTCTACTCAAACTGATTCTTTACTTCTACTACTGATCTTCTACTTCTACTACTGTTTCTTTACTTCTATACTGTTTCTTCTACTTCTACTACTGATTCTTCTACTTCTACTACTGATTTCTTCTACTTCTACTACTGTTCTTCTACTTCTACTACTGATTCTTCTACTTCTACTACTGTTTCTTCTACTTCTACTACTGATTCTTCTACTTCTACTACTGATTCTTCTACTTCTACTACTGATTCTTCTACTTCTACTACTGATTCTTCTACTTCTACTACTGATTCTTCTACTCTACTATGTTTCTTCTACTTC